GTTGAAAAACCTTACACAAGCCAAATGTAAGGGCTGATTTCCTTCATACACACTTAATATCTCATGTAAAGACATATTCAAGGGATTTTGGCAAGGTATGAAAGAAGATATCATGATATTTCAAGTTATCATCACATGACATTTTCAACACTTTCTAGATGATTCTAGAATGATCTAGTTGTTTCCATCCATCATTATAAAAAGAGTGAAGCACAAGGAGGAAAAGGTTGGTGATAGCAAGAGGATTCAGAGGGGAGAGAAAGAGAGAGGCAGCCATTGAAGAGGTTTCTTCAAAGTGAAGCAATTCTGATTTTCTTCCATTGTAGATCTTCCCCTTCATCACAAGTGCAAACAGAAGGCTATTGATCATCCAAGGACCATTTGGAGGAAGTTTCAAGGCCTGAAAGCAGCCACACGAGTCTCCACCATAACCTCTTGACAGGTTCTTTCTCATCACCATTCTCTTAAGTTATGTAGTTTTAATTAGCTTTATAGGTCTAGAACTGGTGCATTAGGTTAAATGATGAAGTTCTGAGAGTTAGAGCCCGATCCATGGTAGTTGATGGCAGGGTCAAGAAAATTTGATCTCCAAGAATTAGCTGGTTTGTGAGTTTCAGTTAGCAAGAACTAGCTTAGAATGGTTAGGGTATTGTGTAGAATAACTGTATGCCACTGGATCCAAGGATTATGGAAGGTTGGTATCAGGTGCATATGGTTGAACCCTGATCTTGCAAGCTTCTGTTGGGATGATCTAGAGAGAATTAGGGAAATTGGTACGTATGGCTGTGTTCCCCTGGATGAGTAGATGATCTTTCGTTTTGGAATCGTGGAATTTCATCCACTGAGCAGAGAGAACAAGACGGTTGAATTCGTGTGCATGAAGCGGGTGAGTCTGAAAACCCTAAGTCATTTTGGGGACGATGACCAGCGTCCATTGGATTAGCTTGACTGGTTGACCTATTCATCTCAATCTACGGCCCAGATCAATCCAAGGAAACGGAGGGAAATTTAAAAACCTAAACGCTGCGTTTGGTTTAGTGGCCGAGTCTGGGCTTAAGTCAATGTGCTACGCGCACCCCCCCTTTGATTCAGCCCAATGAAATCAACTGCCTATTCCTTCTATTGCCACCCCCTCCCTTTTAAATTATTTTTATTTGTTTTATATTTTTGCCATCTTATAAAATTCATAAAAAAATGATAAATGATGATTTTTCACTCATTCTTTTTTCTAGGTTTAGATAATTTTGTGTAGAAAAATATAAAAATAAAAATGAAATTTTATTTTTTAATGTGGAATTTTTTGTGGTATTTTCTTTTAAATAGGACAATTATTTTCTTTTGGTTGATACCTTATCTTGCAAGAATTGTTTTAGGACCTTCCCTTAGGTTTTTTAATTCATTCTTTTTTGTGTGATTAGATATTGAACCCTAGTTTCATGTAGGATTTATCTCTTGATTTTAGAAATTAAATTTGATGTAGTTTGATAGTTAGACATTTAGGTGCTCTAATTAGGGTTTTAGGTTGTGTACTTGAACTTCAACATTTTATTTTTGGGGTTTTTAGGCCAAATTAGTGTATGGGGAATATATGGGACCTAAGGGTAGTTAAGTAGGATCCTCTAGAATTTATATTAGGAATTTGAATGGTATTTTAGTATTTTTGATTGATTTTTGAATTGAATGTTGTTTGTGTGGCCTTTAGGGCTAGTTTAGTCTTGTTTTGCCCTGCTTTGGAGTTGTTGTTGGCTTGAGGAGCTTGGGCATCATGTGAAGACCTTGTGAAGAGCTTGTGAATCATCCTTGAAGCTTTGAAGACCTTGCAGAGGAGTTTAGCATAGCTTTTGTTGTTTTGTTTATAGGTTTATAGGTGCATAGGCAGAGCCTTAGATAGAATACTTTGTTCAATAAACAAGGAGTGTCTTGTTCACCTCCTTTCTTCTCTGTGACATAGAGTCCCTTAAGGGTATTCACCTCTCTCCTTTGGAGGGATTAGTGACCTTGCCCCATAAGGTAGAACTTTGAGAGAGCCTTTCCTTTGATGTTAAGTCCTCAATGGCATCCTTTGGAAGTCAGTGAGTACTGTAACATCCCCCACTCATCTTGTTGACTGAATCTTGTTTGCTGGAGCATTGAAGCCTGAAGATAGAAGCTGAGGCCTTGAAAAGGATGATTCCTTGAAGATTATTGAAGTCTGAAGACTCTGTGAAGATCAAATTGATGCCTGAAGATCCCTGAAGATAGTGAAGCCTGAAGGTAGAGCTGATCAAAGGAGCTGAAGCTCAAGGGAGAAGATGAGTTGATACTCATGTTGTAGGGTTGATACCTGGAAAGCAAGTGATCTCTGAAGTCTGAAGACTGGGTTGCTGCTGGAGGAGCTGAGGCTTTCTTCTGTTGTCTTTGATGTATTGTGTGTTTTGTCTGATTTGTCTGCTGCATTAGACTAAGCACATTTAGAATAAGTTCAGTCTAAGAGCATGAGTGCATCTGATTGTATTGTTATTGTTTGGCTTTGCTTGCGGGTATTCGGTAGAGCCCAGCTCCCTTGCCCATGTGTTTATTGTGCTTGATAGCATGATTTCATTTTCTGTCTGTATGATTACAGTTTACTGTTTTGCTTGATAGCATGTTGTTTATTTCAGTATGATTACTGTTATTTCATGACTGGCTTGAGGTCGAGACGAGCTTGTGGAGGCTGAAGCCCCACACACATTTCCTCCCTCACTTGCATTGCATGCATTTTACTGTTAAAGCTGATGCTTTTGTCTGTTTTGGTGTATCATTGACATGATCCCTTAGGACTCTCATTTCCTCTGATGAGGACTTGATGATAGACTTTCAGGTTGAAACCTATGCATGACAACATCTAGGAGTTCCCTGTTTAAACCTCGACCATAGGATGAATCCATGGCATGATAACAGTAGGACTTGATAGTCTCCCTCCTAGTTGGGCCTGTTCTCTTCTCATCTCAAAGCAGTTTAAGATACGGTAATCATGAATGATTTCTTTCGTACGTTACGAGCCTTAAGATATCTGAGAAAGGATTGTGGGAGAGTTTCTTTTCCATAGTCTGGATGTTTAGTATGGTACCCTTTGGGTGACATGCGACGCATTCACTCTCAGGTCATAGTCTCTAGTGCGGTCGAGATCGCAAACATAATAAAAAACACTTCTTTCAGGAGATAACCCGTAGTTTCCCGAACTACGTTTGCTCTGATCTTTCATACCAGATGAAAGTACGTAGGCATAGGATGAGATGTCCTAGCGAGCAACCTTTCCCCCGTAACCTGTAGTTAGCCGAACTACGTTGACTCTGATTTCTCGTTCCAGACGGGAATACGTAGGCATAAAGCGCGATGCTTTGCCGAGTCATTTTTCTTTTCTTTTTCAGCCAGCCTTGATAGGTAGATAGATTATAACCAACCCGTCCAAGTAAACAAACAAGCGAGGATCCCGTCGAGTACGACGGACGTGAGGGGTGCTAATACCTTCCCCTTGCGTAACCGACTCCCGAACCCAGACAATGGTTGCGATGACCTTGTCTTACCCTTATTCGTCAGGTTTTTCCGATCGTTTCCTTTCCCGCTCTGAGGGATAAATAACGAAAGGTGGCGACTCTTCTGTCATGCCGGCACCTTATTTTCGCGCAAGCGACACTCTCTATCTGCCATTTGACCAAGTAAACATGTAACCTTCGAAGCCAAGGTCAAAAAGCCCACACAAATCAAGGCAATGGCGTCCCCAAGACATTTGTAATGATGAGCGCCCAACTTCACCACTTTTCTCCTCCTCAGTTAGAATATCATTAAAATCCCTAATCCAAATCACTTCATTTCCAATATTCCTAACAGATTTGAGCAATTGCCATGTCTTCCTCTTATTTATCTCTTCAGGATAGCCATACACCCCCATGAAAGAACCACTTGTGATTGACTCTACCATTCTCCACAGTGCCTCCAATATGATTATTAGAGTAAGAGAGAATGTCCACTCCGGTAGCCTCCCTCCAAAGAAAAACAAGACCTCTAGCTCTACTTCTTTCCTCTCTAATACAACCAACAACATGACAGCAAGCAAAGCCTAACTTATCTTTAATCAGTAAGCCTTCTTCAACACTCAGGCGAGTTTCCATCAAGAAAACCATTTCAGGGTTTTCCAGACAGCAAAGCCTTGACAAGGCTCGAACTGCACAAGGACTCCCTAACCCCTTGTAGTTCCAGCTAACGATTTTCATTTGCCTAGGCGGTATTGGACGTCGAACACCACCTCTGGTTCCAATTATGTCGTATCATCTTCCTTGAGTTGTTTCCTCTTCTTGTCACTACCTCCGCAATCTTCTATAGTTCCCTCTGTGATCATAACACCCACCAATTGCCTTTTCCCAACTTCCATCTCCTTCTAAGTTATTCGATTGTTCGTTGTCTTTCTAACACCTTTTCTCCTAGTCCATTTTTTCCTTTTCATAACGGTATCCTTTGTAGTCACACCACCTTCTTTACCTTTGTTTGAAATATCCACGGCCCCAAAGGATTCTGCCACCACTTCAATTTCTAACATTATTTTTGGAACTACTACCTTTTTCTCCTGGAGTTCCTATTTCCAACATAGATTTCCTCTTGGTCTGTTCCACTTCCACCTCTAATCCTTCTTTTTCCACAGCATTGTTCTCACATCTACTTTGGCTAGTAGAATTGTTGAACAAACTTTTGTTGCAATTACTGGAGCTGGAGTCTTTCTTCTTTGGTTCCTCTATCGATTTTGGCAGTGGTGATGCTCTGAGCCATAAACCAAAAGATAAATCTTACTCATCAAAGTCTTCAAAACCCTCCTCGCCCAGTTCTCCTATCGCTTCGCAATTTTTCATCTGATGACCAATCCAACCACATACAAAGCAAAAAGTTGGAAGACGTTTGTACTTAAGGTGGACTCTCAGATTTCTCTCAGGAATCTTTCATCAAATTTCTCTACAACTTAATATTGTATGATTATGGATCAAAAAATTTTACACTGAGAACCCTGCTAAAATGTTACTTTCCACCCTACGTATCCAATCACAAATGATAGAATTAACTAGTTCTGGCACCTCATCATGTGGACAATGGCCTGTAATAGGGGAAAAAAGATCAATTTAAAACAAAGCCTAATGCATCTTATGCTTAAATAAAAAACAAAACAGATATATAAAATTTTCCTACCAGCGTCTATCTTCTTGATTATAACACTATCACAATGCTCTTTAAGCATAGCCACCGTCGCATTAGAGTCAGAAATTGGATCTTTCATTCCCTGACAAAATGAAATCAAAAACACATATAAAGCTAAACTAGAGAGTTATCATTCACATTATTCAGTTTTTCGGTTTTCCAACAATATTTCATATCCATGTTACACTACCTGTATAACTATAACCTTTTCCTTGACATCTTCAAGAAGATAGTTAAGAGGTATGGAGAGATTAAAGCTAAAGATGCTTTCTAGGACCACAGGCACGCCAGGATCATAGGACTTTTAATATGTTAAGGAGAAGGCTTTAGTATGAGATTATGAATATGAATTCTTATGCAATACAAATAGTTTAGATTATAGAAGTAAACTAGAGGATACTGCTCTTAGCATTTCATTTATGAGCCAATCATCTGCTCTTTCAATCTTCTGCAAAAGTGCAAAGCAAAATGACACAGAAACAAGCACAATCAATGTCAATGCTAAACAAATATGTGAGATTCAAAAATTAGCGACAAAAATTACACTTACAGTTGGATAACATTGCTTAACAAGTTCTTGAATTCTTAGCCTCAAGTAAAACAGAATAATGCGAGAACCCAACCATGTAGCCACTGACGTTTGTCTATCCTGAATGTTAACCGGTAAACGGAAAAGCAAATTTTAGAGGTAAATGCAAAAGCAAATTTAGAAAGAATAATCTAAGTATGTTGTCATCATAAGCAGTAAACAGTCACAATAGACTTCAGGTAAAGCTTGAGATTTTAAAATTTAAAAGTCTACCTTCTGTTGCAGATTTTACTAAATTAGAAAATAGAGGAAAAATTTAATAATGGCAAGAAAATTGGTTAGTTTTTCAGACAAAGCCGGCAAGAGAAGAAAATAATATTCAAGTCTTGCGTGTGCAGTATGAACTTCAGTTGTCCTTGCTTACACTTTGCCTAGACAATGACATGGTTGTATTTCTTGGGATAACATTGCCAGCACTGTTGATCAAGACGATGGATTTGATCAAAACACTCCAAACTCGAGCAACAATAGCAACAATATAACCTGAAGTTGGGAAACGTATGTAGTAAATGATCAAATCATCAATAGAAGCAAGAACAAACTAGTGATAAAAATTGTGTACATGTAGCCAAGGAAGTGAGCTACTGTGCATATTTATGTAAAAGAGAGATTTATTTTTATTTGGTTTTATTGTAGAAAAGTGTACCCAGTTTATGTTAAATCATACCGCCAATTGAGTTGCCAACAAGGTGGACGGGTTCTCCCACAACATCAACAATAAAATCTCTCAATAGATCAGCCCACAAGAGTTCAGTATATACAATATTTGGCTTTTCGGATTTGCCAAATCCTAACAATGTAATAGCCCAAACTCGATTTCCAGATTTAGCTAAACCGTGTATGTTGTCACGGTAGTGCTCTCCAAAGGCACCAAAACCATGCACAAGAAGAACAGCAGGACCATCTTCACCAGCAACTGTATACTGAGAAAAGCAGTTTAGACATTAAAGTAGCAGAATAGCTTGGGTTTAACTTTTCTCATAGAGGAAAGATAATTGAGTGCACTCAAGAAAAGTTAACCTCTTAATAGGAAATCAAAGTTTGACTATGATGAAATTAATTTAATACCTGAATAAGAAAACCATTCCATCTCCATATCCGTGTTGACTGTTTTCCATCATTGTTTATCTGGTTTCTCAGAGCTAAAATCCAATACCACTGGGACACCAACAAAATAAAATTATTCATTTGATAAAAAAGATAAAAGGTCAAGGAAACTACCCGTGTATAACAGATAAGTCAACCAAATCTATAAGACACATAACAATTTGTACTCTTAACATGGCATAACTGTTATAGATAGTACCTCCTTTGAACACACGGCCTCAACTGCTGCAGCAATAGTAGTGGCTGAATATCCAAAAGGAGATAAGAATCCTGCATTCCGTTCTTTCTCATATTTGATAGCTTCATAGTGTACTCTTCTTCTGGATATAATGCCCAGAGATAAGGCAGGACCAAATAGTGCGTTAAATGATGCTCCATTTCGATTTTCTGAAGCACGCAGTTTGTCATGTACCCTGCACAAGTTTAAGGTGAAGCAAAATTTCATGATGTGTTAAAAAATATAATGAGAAAAAGAACACATTGTGAGAATACAGACATAGAAACCAATGAGGTAAACACAGGTATGCACAACACATTTTATTTGAGAAGAAACTTATGCCCTTTTAATGATCCGAAGAAATAGAATGCATCAATGTAATAAAAAATAGGAGCAACAATTTACAAAAAACAGCAAACAAAGAAGGGTAACACAATGAAGCTTTTTCATAATTGAAAATACTTTTTCCTTAAAAAAACACATAAAACATTAGCTTCAGAATCCAGGTTGTTCAATAAATTTACCGAAAAAACAGAATCATAGAAAGAGGGTTATTACTACATACTCTTGCCAATCATCACGAGCCGTTCCCTCCAAATACCTCAAATATGCAGCCAATGCATTTAGTACACTATATGTTCCACCTCCAACAACATTTCCTTTTTGTGTAACAAACACAGATTTATTTGGTTCCTCTGACTTGATCTGTCTAAAGCTATAACTTCTCTCTCCACTCTCACGGGACTTCAACATTTCTCTGCCTAACAGGGTTTCAGCTGATGTCTTCTTGATCATATTCCAATCATCTTGTAAATTCCTCCGGCTGTTAGCCATAAACCCCTTAATATCATCATACACGGGAAGATTGCCTAATTCAATGAACAAGTATCACATGACTTCTGGTAACATCATAAAGTGCATTAACATATCCAATAATCTTTTGAAAAAATATATATACAAAATGAATCCTGATAATAAAAAATAAAATCAGACCACCACAAAACTCACCCCAATCTAATTCCATTTCTGCACCAGGTATTGTTGAAAGCTGAAGTGGTGTAGTCACTTGGAGCCGAAGTTTCTCAAAGTCATCATAGGATGAGGCAAGATTTTGCACCTATGTGATAATTATAACAATCAATCCAACATAACTGAATTACACAAAAAAGTCACCACCATTAGGCAAGTTTGACATTCTTACCTAAACAACTCAATCAAACAAGTGAAAACGAGATTACCACCAATTTAGTTCCTAAAATTGTTGGTCAGCTTGATCTCATCATCTATAAAGTTAACGAAATTTCAAATGATCAAAGAAAGTTGAAAATTCTCAATAACATTAGTCTTTATAGGTTAGTCGATTTGATCTCTGAAACTCTCCCAACCGAAAAGATTAATGTCATTAAGAATTTTCGATTTAACAAGTTATTTTGGAGTTTCATTAATTTAAAGATCAAATTGACCAACTCCTGTAATTTCACTAAATTGGTTGTTCACTCCAATAAATATGTTAGAATTAGCAAACACAATCAATTACTAACGAGCTACCTACCTTTACATCATAAAATGGAGTCTTCCACAATTCAATTCTTGGAATGTCTTGAGGAACCTTCATTGATTTCAAATGCTGGTTGACAATATCCATGACGAAGAGCAGTTCATGTTCCACCTCTTGTTCCGCAAATACACAAGTGGCTTTGACCTGTTCCATCCTGAGAGAGATGAATTGAATTTGTTTAAGGAAAAAAAGAATGTGCTTCAAAAAAACTTAAACTATCCTCGCATCCTCATGCACCAATGCATTGATCAAGTTAAGTTTTAATCGTGTGTCAGGAACAGCTACCTCCTTTTCTCAATGACCAGTCACGTTTTTCAAAATATACCAAGCAAATCAATAATTTCTTTATTTTTTGATTTTATGCATTTTTCTATAATATGCTTGAGATATTTTTTTCTCAACTCACACATTTTTCTATCTGTAATGAATAGAGTAAGGTATTATTGACAAAAATAACCAAGTCACGATGAATTTAAAAAATGATAGATAAATAGTAACAACAAATTCTAAGAAACCAACACTTAGAAACACTTTTTAATTGATTTATTTGAACTTATAACAAATTCATAATCTATTCTTCTGCTAAAAAAATTAATTTTGAATGAATTGGTTATATAAAATTGATTATAGTTAAAAGTAACTTGAATATAAAATGATTTATGTTTGGATAACTTTATTAAAAATTGAGTTAATCGATAAATTTCAATATGAAAATCATGTTTAAACTCAAAAACTACTAATTTTAGTTTAAGTAGAATCAGAAGATAGAGATAATTTTCCTTTAAAAAAAAAAGTAAACACCTCAAAATCATTTCAAAATCAGTTTTATACCTCTATAATTTTTTTGTTTAAACCAAACAGACATTAAAACTATTCACTTTACATAAGCACTTGTAATTAAGTTATTTATCGAAGCAAAGCCTATAAAAGAACAGATTAAGTAACTAATTAACTACATAAATGAAAAGAAGAAGAAGAAAAAAAACCACCTCATTTGCAAGTTGTTGTATCACATTCTCAGCATTGCCAAACCTAATCATGAGATCGGAACCACGTTCCTGCAACGACTTCCTCAAATCCTTCAATGCAAACAGAACTAGTTCAAGCATTTCATCGGAAAAACCTGCAAAATCAAAACACCTTCAGATTCAACTTCCAGTTCCAAATTCTTCAACTCAGAGAGTGGTAATAATGAATTTCCATACTTACGAGAAAGAATGCGGTGATCGAAGATGTAAACAGGAACTAGTGATCGAAATTCAGAGGCAGCGAGTAGTCCAGGGTGATCGTCTGTTCGAAGATCGTGTTTGAACCAGAGAATGGCGGTGTCGGAAGATGTTGCGGTTGTGGTGAAGTAACGGCGGCGAGATGGAGAGAAGCGGTTGTTTGGGGAGCGGGAAAGTGAGTGGAAATTGGAAGGAAAATGAGGGAAAGTGAGGAGAGCCATTATGGAGAGATGTATTTTGATGAATACGAAGAAAAATATAAGTTGGATTTGTAAAGTGAAAATTGTATGTTTTTGGTGATTTTGTATTTGTGGCGGAGAAAATTAATACAAATTTTGTTGACCAAAAGAATCCATGACACTAGTGCAGTGTTAGTTGAGAGAATTTGAGGATGGCAAAAATATTCATATCCGCGGATATCTATGAATAAAATTTGCCACGGATATGGGACTGGTAGTTTAAAGGATATTTATGGATAAAATAAATGGATATTTAAATATCCGTTTGTTAATGGATATGGATATGGGTTTAATAATATCCATACCCGCGGATATCTATATCCGTTTATGAATTATAAAAATTATTTAAATATCATTAGTTCATTATACTTTATCTTTGCATCTTCTAAAAAAATTAGTCTTATACTTTTTTTTTAATTCTTTTAAGAAAATCTTTCATTTTTCATTCAAATTCTATTTGTCATTTCATATTTAAACTCTTCGATATTTCATACCTCACTTCATCAATTTCACAGTCCAACCAACTAATATCGTCATTCCTTTGTCGAACTAGTGTCTCCATTCCTACTCCTCTGTTCTGATCTTCCATCATTCCTCTGTCGAATATTTTGTATGGATATTATGCGATAATAAATTTTTGTGTCTTTAAAATAAGTTAAAAATAATTTTTTTTAAAAATAATTTTTATAAAAAAAGTATTATCCATAGATATCTGTAAATATGTGTGGATTACCCGCTTAACAGGTATCCACATGGATATGGGACGGATATGAATATCATATTTATCTAACAGGGTTGATACGGATATCATAGTATCTGCCCCATAGATATCCATTTATCTCCCTAATTTAAACATAGGAGAAAAATATGTCAAATCCAACAATATGAATATTTATTATCCTATTAGACACTAATGCATTGTAATTAGTTTGTTAAGTTATTCCTTTAGTTCGTTAGTTATAAAATTAGTAAAAGATTTTTTTTTTCTAATTCTAATTCCATATACAATGAATGACTCTCTCTTTAATAATTGAATTACCGATAATAATTTAATTTTATTATGTTCTTCATTTATTTTCTTTTTTTCTATTATAGAAATTATGATTGAACATGTCATATCATTACATGATAGTGCCTCTACATGATAGTGCCTCGTGTCAATTAGTAAGCATCTACAATCTAGTTTATATAGGTTTAAATAAAATTAGATTTTTTTTAGGGAATTTTTTAATACATCGTCTATATTATTAGAGTATCATGTAAAAATACAAAAATATTCTTAAATTTAGATATACATATTTAGTCGCACCCTGGACACACACACCCTAAGCCAATTATGGGTCACATCCTAAGAGTGTGGCTTTTTTTTGCTAATCAGAGTTTTGTTCGATTGTCACCTCCAGCAAGTTCAGGTGAGCTTTCTTTCCAACTTGAATCATGTTTCTCCTCCTTCTTTCTCTTCTTCACGTGGTCCCCAAAATAGTGATATAATACACGACTTCTGCTACTGCAATTTGTTTGTATGATCAGGACGGAGCCACATACAAAAGAAAGGGGGCTCCTGCCCCCACTAGATTTTGAGTTTAGTTATAATAATTTTTTATCATTTTTTATAACATTTAATAATTTAATATATATTTTATTTACAATTTTAATTATTTTCCTACTGAATTAAAGTTTTAAAAAAACATTAGTAAAACTATTTTTTATTTAATGATATATTTATTTTGAAAATTAATTTTATTTTATTTAAGAAAATTATGACAAATAAAATAGTTTTTTTAATAATAATTTTATGAAGAATCAAATATATAAAAATATAAGATATAAAATCTTAAACAAATATTTTTTACAAACATAAAAATATATATGTTTAGAAACACCAAAAATAAATTAATCTTACAATAATTTAATAAAAATGTATTTACTCTCACTTATTAAAAGTTCTAGCTATGTCCCTGTGTATGATACGATGTGTATGATACGATACCCTTGCCATATATATCTTATGCTCTTGAATTTTGTTGCAAATGTGATGATATCAACTCTTGTCATATGGGTGCTTGTCCAAATTACCTGATCTTTATTGTTTTAAGTTCTCAATGTGATGCGTGTTTGCACAACTGCTGCTGCCATGAATTCTTGCTAACATTTTTATGGCTTTGCTTTGTAGGTCAATATGGCACCACACATATGGGATGGAGGAAGGGATATGATCCATGAGCATGATACTAGGGTTGCTTCAATTATGTGTCAAAGACTCTACTAAAATGGAGGAACATCACATCTTTGATCATAGCTTGTATTTTGGGAACTTGGACTTGTAACCATTGTGGTAGCTTTTGGGAAAATGTCAACTCTTATGCCACCTTGTAATTCTTGTTCCATTTTGATGTAATGCTTCATTTCATTTTTTTTAAATTGTCTAAATAATATGAACATTTAGACTTGTCATTTGCAATACAAATTTCTTCTTTGTAGTTTTGACATTTAAAAGAAAAATTTTGTAACTTGTCTTTGGTGCATGAATGTCTTATCTCCAAAAAATTTGCACTTGTACTCTTAGAAAAGTAATCCCAAAATACTCTTGTATGTGATAAAAAAAAAAAGATACTCCATTTGAAAAAACAAATCTTCAAGCCTAGCATTCAAACTTCCAAGTTCATAGTTTATAAAATTAAAAAGAATCTAGGTCCTCCATAAAATGAATCCAATGTGCTTCAACCAAAGCACTTCAATATTTGTAATCAAAGTTTAACATGGCTCATAGCATAATGTGAATAAGTTCAAACAAATTTAATAATACATTGCAATAACCAATGCTATGAAAGGCATGTAACACGAAGAAACAATGCAATACAAGTGCTAACCTCAACCAAGCTCAAAGTGTGATTAAGTGCTAGCAATGAAATGAAGACCTATTACAAATAGTCTAATACCCAAAACCTGACTTTGGGATGTCCATGGCCAAGCCCAAGTGATTAAGCAAATGAAACAGATTAGAGAATAATATATATGCAATGCAATGCTTGAGACAAATTTGAGGAAAGAAAGAAAAAGGTAGGACAAATTTGGGGTATGACACCATCAAGTATTTTTCCAATCCATATGATAGTGTAGCTTCGGTTTTAGTAATGCGACCACTACCACATTTAACGTTACTTTCTGATTTCTAATATTTATTTTATGATGCTTAAAAGGAAGGGGAAGATATCTCAAACTAACTCTGCTCGCAAATGTTATTCTTACAAATGTTAAGAGATCTGGAATCAGAGGGTTGGTTATATTAAGGGAAGTTATTAACACCCTGAGTATCTATAGTACTCTATAAGAACCTTAATTGCATATTTCTATTGTTGAATTACTTGCTTGCTTAAGTTTGTTGTGTTGTTTGAATAGGAAAGTTTCACCTTTGTGAAAACTAAGGAGATGTTTTTGTTGTTTTATAGTTTTCTATTATTTTTGGTAGGTACCTAAACCTAAGGGTTTTTTTATTAGTGTGCTCGCTAAGATTTTGCAATCTTATGCCTACGTATTCTCAAAAAGGAAACTGAAAAATCAGAGCGTTTGTAGTTCCTCCTAAATCTATGGGAGGAAATTATTTTGTGTCTTGTTCAAAGCCTAAGATTGAAGCTAAAAGAGTATTTGTGTCTTGTTCAAACCCCAAGATTGAAGCTAAATTTTTGACTGAGAGAGAATTTGTCATCTCTAAAGGGAGATATCTCATCTATTCATCACAAACATTGAAGAAATAATTATAAGGGAAGTTGCTTTAACTGGGATGTGTGGAATCCAGCAATGCCACATCTTCCTTTATAGGAGAAGTGAAATCTCATGAAGGATGTAATACCCCTTTCTATACCCCCAAATAATCAAATAAATCATTTAGGCACATATACAAATTCATTTATCAGAGTATATTTAAAACATGGTATAAAAAAAGTATGCCACATTATCCATGAAATTAAAACATACAACACCTGCTCAACAAGATATGCAACAGTGGGGTAACTTTCAAAACAGAGGAACTTAGTCCTTACACCCACATCTCAACATTTAGAATAAAAGAGAAAATATTTAAACATTGAATAACATCAAAACATATAATCAAATATATATGTCATCCAGTTCAATTCCACCACATTCAACATGTTTTCACAAACATCTATCAGCAGATACATATACAACGTATCACAAAAGAATTCTATACATCCTAGCTACCCGGTGCTACATATCAGAGCCGACCAACCAAAAAGAATGAAGCTATACTTCACAAAAGACCTCCAGCAAATCTAATTTGCAATGCCTCATAAAGCATCATAAAACAGCAGAAGGGTGAGAAATATTATCATAATAATCAATGCATATAATCATATATCTATATACATTCATAGAATACACATATTTTCTCATTTTCTCACCACAATCATCACAATTCGATCATATATATATCGCAACATATATATTTCACCAAGCATATTCATCATGCATATATTCACCATTCATTTATATACATCACAATGCATATTTCATAACTAAGCATATTCATCAATCATGCTTCTACAATTCACATCATTTTCACATAAACATTTACAATTATGTTTATTTCATCACCAATTCACATAAACATCTACATTCATGTTTATTTCACCAATGCATCATATAAAGATGATAAATGCAACTCATAGAGACCGACTCACGACTCTATGCAGATGCAAATGCGGTACCGACTCATTCAGCAGGTTCAATTGAAGAACCAAATGGAACCATCGCTTGTTACCGAAGTAACTCCCCGTCGGGCCTACGATGTTCACCCATCGCTCACACCTCACATGGGCACAAGATGTTTCAGGATTGCTCACACCCCACACGAGAACACAATCTGATTGCTCACACCCCACATGGACACACAATCGTTCTGCAGATTCTACGCGGAATCAATTATAAACCATCGCTCACACCCCACATGGGCACACGAGGTT